AATCAGTGAAATATTTTGTGTTCTTCCTTTATCTTTTTGGTCCATCTCTCCCTCAGGACTTTTCACTTTCAACAAAAGGGCAAATGTTTTACTATGGCTTGCACAGTTCTCAAAGAAAAACGAGATTTTCTATCCTTCCGAAAGGACCATCTATTAGAGACAAATGCCACCAAGGAAAGGTCTCAAAGTATCACTTGGAATTAACCTGCCTGAACAGTAAGCGGGAAATCTGTCCACCTGTGGGTGGAGAATTTCCTTAGGGAACTGCGGTGAGCTTGGTTGAGAAGCCGATGGGGCAGTGCTGGAAGTGAGAGACCAAGTATAGTTGAGATCGACAATTGTAATAGTCTGTCAGAGCCAACTTCTGCTGTGTCTATCATACCAGGGGGCTTCAGAAAGTGTATGGAAAAATTCCACTAGCTTGTCATTCTATTGTTCTGTGAACTTTTTGAAGCCCCCACTCAGCATTTTCTGTTGTTTCTGCTGCTGTTTCAGACTCCCGGCTGCCCTGTGGGTTTGGAGCCCTGCTCCAGGGCGTTTTCTTGGCTGCAATAGCAACAGAAACAGATCAGCACCCCACCCCACCCCACCCATGGGCCACACAAAAACTGAAATCAAACTCCTTGTCCTATAGTCGGTTCAGACTTATCACGACCCTATAGGACAAGAGGAATGCCCCTGTGGGTTTCTAAGACTGGAAATCATTGCAGCAGCAAGAAGTCTTATCTTTCTCCCAGAGAGCAGCTGGTGGGTTTGAACCATCAGTCTCGTGGTTAGCAGCCCTGCTCGTGGCACACTATACAACCGCAGCTCCACATGGAGGCTACTGCTTGGGTTTAAACCACTAACCTTTAGGTTAGTAGTGGGGGACAAACCGTTTGTGCAGCCTATTAAACCATCCAATCCTCAAAAAGGAGCCCTCGTGCTTAACCCATTGGTTAAGTGCTCTGCTGTAAACCCAAAGGCCATTCAACTTTAACAGTGATTCAATCCACCAGCAGCTCCGTGGGAGAGAGAATGTCATCTCTTCCCATCAGGATATAGCCAAGGAAACCCTCGGGGTAGTTGGAATCAGCTCGACAGTACACAACAATAACTCAATCTTCAAAATAACCTTCGCTTGTTGTTAGTTGCCACTGGGTTGATTCCAATTCATGGAGACCCTGGGATCGAAGGGGGTTTATTACCCCCATTTCACAGAAGAGGAAACTGAGGCAGGGTCAGGATAAGCACCTGACAATGGGGGGTCACACATCTAGGTAAGTGAAGGATCCAGGCTTTGAGAGTGAAGGCCTAGATCCCACACTTGGAACCTCACCACTGTGAAAATGATGGGTACATTTTTCCTGGTGATCACGATGAGAAAAATGCTTCCAGCTGAGAAGGACTTGGATGTACACTTGCACTGCACCACGGAAACAGAAGCTATGGCAGCAGAAACCCTGGAACTTGCTGGTGGGCAGATTATGTAAGCATTTCATGATAAGTGAGAGCTAACTGATACCTCTCTGTGAAGGTTTTGTTTCAGCTAACTCGGCTAGGTCAGAATTCTCAGTGCTTTGGCAGTTCTGAGCTAGCAATCCTAGCAAACCATAATGAGATCTCCATGAGGGTGCGGCCTGCTTCCAATAAAAGCAGATGCTGAGGAAAAGCTGGTTTGCTTTTTACTGGGTCTGGATTCTGCATCTGGCTCATGGACCTCTGGTTCTTTGGACTTGAATCAATAGCCTGCCATATTGTCTGGAAATCCTGGGAGTCATCAG